GAATAGAGGAGGGTAGATTCCTGGTTAAACTGTAGGACCCTCTGAGAGGATAGGTATTTAAGTAGAATTGTGCACTGTGGTCATATGGAGCCCTAGCTGGCTTGCTGGAAAAGCTGCTAGACCCTTGGCTAATGCATTATAACAAAGCATGGAGAAAGAGAGGCAGCTTCCTGGTTGAATGTGGGGCTAGGAGGGTCTTTCTTGGGCGAGTCATTCTCCTCCTTACCTTATTTACTGAGAACTTGTAGAGCGATTGGGCTTTGCCCCTGTCAAAGTCATTTCTACATGTCCAGGTGTGTGTGTGTGTGTGTCCATATGTGAGCTTATTTGGAGGAGGGGGAGGGCAGGGCACAAATAAACCTGTCTATACACATTAAATTGAGTATCTGTCCGTCAGACTCTTCCCCTCCCTGTGGGCAAGGCCCTGATGGTATCTGAGGACATCTCTCCTGCCTCTGCCTTCCTCCTACTCCCCCTGATGTCTGGCCTGTGGCAACTGAAATGTTTTGGAAGAATGTGGCCCCTGCAAAGTCCTGCTAGCCCTGAGACGTGACAGGCACACTCAACAACTGGGCAAAGACAAAGAGGGCTGTCACACTTCTTGACTCATGGACACACTGCAGATTCTAGACTGGTACCTTGTGCCCAGATACCGGGCCCCGTCTCAAACGCTTTTCTCAGAACAACAGCCATTCTTGGTGGCTCCAGAGAGGGCTGGTGACTCTGAGACAGCAATGGGTGGAGGGAAGGAGGCCTTGGGTGAGAATGACCAGGCTGGAGGACCAGACAGGATGGCTAGCAATGATAGCACACACTTCATTAGACACCATCCACGTGAGGGTGCCGGTATCATTATAAGGTGTGAGGCACACTAGAGGTGTGATATTAGAGAGGCAGCAATTGGGGGTGGGGGATACCCAGGACAGGCAGGTGTGGCAGGCAGGCCACTGTGCATCAGAGCTGCTGCAGACTGTGTGGCACCCTGCACCTCTATGGCAGCCTTGCAGGGCTGAGCGAGCCTCCCACAGCAGCAGGCTTCCTGAGGAAAGATTAGGTCGCTGCCAGAGGTCACTGTCATGACCTTGACCTAGTGTGAACCAGTCTCTGGTTTCCCATCATTTGACTCTGGGCCGCAGGCAGAACAGAGATGGGAGAAGGGTGTTTCCTTTGTATCTGAGAACACAGTGTCCCACGGAACTCCTTCCTCATAACGTGCACAAGGACAACTGTGAGCTCAATGCATTTGTATTTCTACTTCTACATTTATCTCTAAACTGTGGTAAAGGGGTGCCATGCTGAGGACCAGCTGTCTCCAAGCCTTGGTCCTCAGGGTGGCACCATCGGGCGGTGATAGGCTGGACCTAACAAGAGGGGCTTTTTGTCATGGGACGTGCTCACGGAGAGATTGTGAGAGCCCAGTTTCTTTGCTCCCCGTTTCCTTCCTGTCCAGTCAGAGAGAACAGCAGTCCACCACACACCCCCTGCCAGGAAGCCCTCGGAGAGCAATGGGCCAGCTGGTCATGGGTGAATTCTCCAAAACTCTGAGCCAAAATAAACCTCCCTTCTTTTTAAGTTAATTGCTTTAGGGTTTTTGTCACAGTAACGGAAAAAGAAATACCATCAATGTATGGCCAACTCAATACTGTGCTCACTTCAAAGGGAGCAAACAGTTTACTCTGAGCCAAATCTGAGAGACTTGGGAACACAGATTTGAATTTGCTCAGAAGACATGTTCCAGGGTTGATTAGAGGGCTCAGTCATTGAGAGCAATGGCTGCTCTTCCAGAAGATGTGGGTTCAATCCCCAACACCCACGTGGTGGCTCACAACCATCTGTAACTTCAGGTGTGGGACTCCATGTCATGTTTTTTATCTCCACAGGCACCGCACACATGTGGCACACAGACATACATGCAGGCAAAACATCCATGCACATACAACAAAATATTATAATATAAGTATATAGCTGGGCATAGTGGCACATGCCTTTAATCCCAGCACTCAGGAGACAGAACCAGGCAGATCTCTGAGTTTGAGGCCAGCCTGGTCTACAGAGTAAATTCCAGGACAGCCAGAGATATACAGAGAAACCATGCTTTGTTGGCGGGGGGAGTATATAAAAAGACATGTTCCACCTTAGGAAGAGTTAATTCGGGATTCATTAGTTTCATAACAAAGCTAAATCCAGGCATTTGTCCATACACTGGTTGGATCATGGGGGTTGCCGCAGCGTGGGAAAGTCTGTTGCTGGTCTCAGATGTGAGCTCGTGACACTCTTAGCCTATGTTGGTGGAAGCTGCTAGTCCGCTAAGAATACAGTTTTAAGGTTTATCTGAAAGCTGCAGGGCTGCCAGGTCAGGCATGGAGACTGTGCTGTACACTTATGGCTCATACCAGCCTGCAACTCTGTCTGCCATGCTTGAAACCCTAGTTCCATCCACAGCACCATGTTAAAAAAAAGCATTGTTTGAATGATTTTTCAGGACTAGTATATTAAGCACTGAATAAAGCAGACCCAATGGTAAGGTGTGCGAACATTTTGTTAAACCCTCATAAGCCTTCATTTTCTTTTAGAATTCCTGTTTGGGACTAAAATATGGCAGGTCTCAGGCTTATGGCCTGATTTGAGCCTCTGGGTAGATAAGACCACCACCATTCTTAGGCTCAAAGGCAAAGTCACTGGGGCATCACGTGACTGTCTAAGCATAAAGGTGTGGGGTTGGTTTCCACCTATCCATTGTTATGGACTCAAGCCTGAGTGAGCATGGGGTGCAGGGGTCACAGGCGCACACAGCAGCTGCCCAGGGATGCTCGGCAGTCAGGGAAGCTCATCTTGGGAGCACTTGACTTCTAAGTGAAGCAAGCCAGTCTCAAACATAAGAATATTGCTTGTCTCCACCAGGTGGGCTGTTTAGAATGAGGTTCGTAGAGACCATGGACACAGGAGAAGGGGAGTTGATGGTGACTCCAAAGGTTCGTTGGAGGTCACAAGAACACTTTGGAGACAGAAGCTGACATATCCTCAAAGCCCCACTCTGCCCAGTGTGGGGGACATTTGTATGTTCAGTGGCAGAACGGCTCTTAGATGACTCTGTGGACTGAGGGTCCTGGAACAGAGAAAAGCCACACTGGGGTCAAAAGTTCTGTGAGGCTGTGACTGGACAGAAGCTCATGAGTTAGACTCTTACAGCTCCAGAGATGAATTTATTATTATTATTATATTTTAAAAACAAGTTTATTTTTATGTGTAGCATTGTGTGTCTGAGTGTGAGTGCATGTACACGTGGGTGTTCAGGCAAGAAGAAGGTGTCAGATCTCCTGAAGCCATCCAGCTTAGGTGGTGGGATCTAAAGTCAGGTCCTCTGCAAGAGCAGCAAGTACTCTTAACCACCGAACCATCTCTCCAGCCTTCCTGGGCTGACTTTAAGCCCCTTAAGATCCAGTCACCGGTTACCTCTCCTCCTGACCTAACAGGCTTTTCCTGTCACATGTTGTCATCTGAGCACTAGGGAGATGGCTCGGGGGTCAAAAGCCGGTGCTGCTCTCGCAGAGGACCAGAGCCCCCCAAATCAAACAAAGTCACATCGGAACCTTTGCCTCTCACCGTCCATGCTGGCACCCCCAGCAGAAACCAGGATTCAAACGCCTTGGCTTTGCCCCATCTCCTCCAGTGACTCCATCTCAGCTCATGGGCAGTCTTTCCATGGGATGGAGGACACAGTCGGGTCCCGAGACTGAGACCTGAGTTTGCATCCACAGGACTTACGTAAAGAGCTGGACATAGCGGAAAGCCTGCAAGCTCAGGCCTGGGGAGGCAGAAACGGATCCCAGGGGCTCAGTGGCCAGCCAGTCCAGTTAGTCACTTATCACGTTCTGCCAGGTATAGTGAGAGACCCTGTCTCTTTTTTTTTTTTTGGTTTTTCGAGACAGGGTTTCTCTGTGGTTTTGGAACCTGTCCTGGAACTAGCTCTTGTAGACCAGGCTGGTCTCGAACCTACAGAGATCTGCCTGCCTCTGCCTCCCCAAGTGCTGGGATTAAAGGCGTGCACCACCACCACCCGGCTTGAGACCCTGTCTCAAAGCATAAGGCAGAGAGCGAATAAGGGGACAGTGGATGTCAACCTCTAATCTCCACATGTACACACACGTACACACAGAGATTCACATACAAATACACACAGAGAGACAGTCACACACACACAGACACACACACACAAATACACACAGAGACACAGTCACACAAACACACAGACACACACACAAATACACACAGAGTCACTCACACAGACACACAAATACACACAGAGACAGTCACACAGAGACACACACACAAATACATACAGAGAGAGTCACACAAACACACACAGACACACACACAACTGAAAAAATAAGCACAAAAATTTCAAAGATGAAACAGACACGAAGTTGATGCAAGCTCACACCACCACCCCCAGAGGCTCCCTCACTGTCTACACCACTATTGCTAGGGACAAAGGGACCAGGCTGCGCTGTGCCCGGGGCCATCTGCCCAGCAGTTTTTCCACTGGTGAGTGCAATGGGAGGTCCCTGAACGCTTAGTTCATTACCATAGAGAAGTTGTGGAATCAACCAGATATCAGTGGTTCTCAGCAGACCTTGGCATCCCAGAATCACACCCCGGACACCTGACGGGCCTGGAGTCATTCCTAGCCGGGCCAGGTCTCTGCACCACCTTTGGTCTCAAGGCCAACATCTCCTACCTCCCAGGAAAGCTGTCTTCTCCCTGGGCTCCCATCTTCAACCCCTGGGCACCACCCCTCATTCAGCACGGTGCCCCAACGACCTACTCAGTACCGTTTCCTACCTACGGACATCACCGGAATCATCCATCAGTAGCTATGGTAAAACAACCAGAAAAGGAAGCTGTTCCTTCCTCAGAATTCACTGGGCCTTTTCAGTATCAGGAAACCAAATTGCTCAATAGGAAAAAAAGTCCAAAGTCTTGTGGGGACAACTGTCAGGTGGAAGACTCTGAGCATGTCACTGTGGCCAGCAGCTGGGGTGCAGGAGACCTTTTTACTTATGGACAGGAGAAGACAACAAACAAAGCCAGAGCAGGGAGGTCAGAAAAGGATGACGGAGCAGTGGAGGGAAGGGAGGGGCTTCACCTGCAGCCACAGGGACGCATTAGATAGCCGTGTGTAGCGTTTTGTTCCAGTGCAGATATGACATTTCCGGTCGGTCTTGAATGTCTGCCTCAGCAAGGCCACCTGGTAGGGTGCACCAGAGAGGTAATCTTAACCAAAGGGCATGTGTGCCCACGCAGGCTGTACTCAGAGACCGTAATCGAGCTGTCTCAAACACCCTGGCCTTGAAGCGTCCAGTCGGGGAATGAGAAGCTGGAAGACACGTTCCCGGCTGTGTCCTTGTTGTCGACCCGAGTCAGTGCCATCTGATCCCAGCGTGTCGAGGTGGATGGGACTCCAGGTATTCTGAATGTGATGGAGGGACTGGGGCTGGCAGTCATTTATCCCAAAACTGGGCCCCTGCCTGTCAGGTGTGGGTGGATGAGTCGGAAGGCAGGCCAGTGGCCCGAGTATCTCCAGGTGACAGTCATAGTGGCCTTCAGGCCTGGGTGTCCCAGGGACCCTAAGACACTGGGATTGAGGGCAGCCAAGCTGCTGAGGACCCAGGGAGGACAGAAATTTGATTCCAAGTGTCTGGGCAAAACTCTCTCTTCACTTGCTGGGCTTCAGTTTGGGGACAAGGAGTGAATCGATGGGATGTTTAGGATGCTGTACCAGCTTGGGAGCTTTGTCGGTACTGTGTCCTCCTGCTCTAAGTCCCTGTGGAGAGAGCCAGCTCTGTTCATAACTGCTACCTGAGAGCATCCTCCTCCTCCTCCTCCTCCTCCTCCTCCTCCTCCTCCTCCTCGTCCTCCTCCTCCTCGTCCTCCTCCTCCTCCTCCTCGTCCTCCTCCTCCTCCTTGTCCTCCTCCTCATCCTCCTCCTCCTCCTCGTCCTCCTCCTCGTCCTCGTCCTCCTCCTCGTCCTCCTCCTCCTCCTCGTCCTCCTCCTTGTCCTCCTCCTCCTCCTCGTCCTCCTCCTCCTCCTCGTCCTCCTCCTCCTCCTCATCCTCCTCCTCATCCTCCTCCTCCTCCTCATCCTCGTCCTCCTCCTCCTCACAGGAACCTCTCTCAGATCCAAGCACACACACATCCACTTGGAAGAAGGGGGAATGAGTCAGTTTGGTTCATAGCTCTGTCTGTCTGTCTGTCTGTCTGTCTGTCTGTCTGTCTGTCTATAATCCAACTATCATCTATCATCTGTCTGTCTATCTATCATCTATCCATCTATCTATCTTCTATCTGTCTATCTATCATCTATCATCTATCTATCTATCATCTCTCTGTGTGATCATGAGAACATGTGTGTTTGAGCATGCATGTGTACACATGCATGGGGAGGCCAGGAGTACTGTCCACCTTATTGCTTGAGACAAGGTCTCTCGTTAACCTGGAGCTCACCAATCAGCCTAGGCCGACTGACTAGAGAACCCCAGAGACCCACCACCTCTTCCGTGCTAGGGATTTAAGTTCTGGGCACCATGCCTGGTTATTTTATTTTTTACTTTTTTATAATTTATCTTTTTTTAAAAAAAAAGAAAACAAACTATCTTTTTTTCGTTTACATACCAATCCCAATTCCCTCTCCCTCCCCTCCTCCCATTTCTTCCACCTACCCCGCCCCCATCCACTCCTCAGAAAGGGTAAGGCACATTGCTTTGTGGAAGGTCCAAGGCCCTCCCTACTATATCTAGGCTGAGCAAGGTATCCATCCAAAGAGAATAGGATCCCAAAAAGCCAGTACATGCAGTAGGGATAAATCCTGGTGCCACTGCCAGTGGCCACACAGTCTGCCCCAGCTATGCAACTGTCACCCACATTCAGAGGGCCTAGTTTGGTTCTATGCTTGTTCCTTCCCTGTCCGGCTGGAGTTGGTGAGCTCCCATTAGCTCAGGTAGACTGTTTTCAGTGGGTGAACTCATCATGGTCTTGATCTCTTTGCTCATATTCTCACTCCTCCCACTCTTCAGCTGGACTTTGGGAGTTCAGCCCAGTGCTCCCCTGTGGGTCTCTGCCTCTGTTTTCATCAGTTGCTGGAAGAAGGTTCTATGGTGACATTTAAGATATTCATCAGTCTGACTAGAGGGCAAGGCCAGTTTGGGCCCCCTCTCGTCTGTTGCTTAGGGTCTTAGCTGAGGTCATCCTTGTGGATTGCCAGGAACCTCTCTAGTGTCGTGCCCGGCTATTTTAATGTCAGTTCCAGGCATCAAACTCATGTCCGCATGCCCACACAGCAAGCGCTTTACTGACTGAGCGTCTGTCTCCAGGCTTTTTGGCAATTTCTTAATACGGATGAAAAATGGCTGGGCAGTGGTGGTGCAGGCCTTTGATCCCAGCACTCGGGAGGCAGAGTCATGCGGATCTCTGTGAGTTTGAGGCTAGCCTGGTCTACAAAATGAGTTCCAAAGAAACCCTGTCTCAGAAAAAAAGAAAAAGAAAAAATGGCATAAAGAGAGGAAACTTTATGCTATTTTATATAAAATCCTCAACTACCTTGAGCCCACATCCTCAGTAGCTGTCTTCCCAAGACAGAGGGCAGGGCTCTGGGCAAGGTAGAAAGGGAATCAGGATTAGCATCCCGAGAAGATCTCCAAACTTTAGAGATCTCTGGGGCTCTGGCTTTTAATTCCCATGGAGAGGTTTAAGTTTTTCGAAAGTCTAAATCCTTTAGGTCCTGGGTTTGTTTACATTAAAGCTGGCAAACCCAAGGATCACCCACAATGGCGATCCAAGGTCCCCCCATCTTGGTCCCAGGATGCAGGTGGGCTCGGTGCTTCCTTGTGTCTCTCTCTGGCTGGCCCCTCATTGGTAAGAGTGATCACACCTCAGCCTCATGCTCCTGTGCTGGTGTCCCCCAGACTGGGCTGTCACGTTTGCACTGTGTTATCTGAGTCTTCTACACAGCAAGGAAGCCTCTGCCTCCAGGGGGGTGGCGCTGAGTCAGGCTGAGAGTTTGCCTACAATTACTCAGGGTGGAGGCAGTGCCGGCCTCTGCCCTTATCTGGATCCCTGTGATCCACCAATCTTGGGCGCTCCCTGCATTTTACTTACTTATCTGTGCAATGGGATCGATGCCTCACGAGGCGTCTGCAGAGGAAAGAAAACAAAGTCATCTTTGGGAGCCGTGAAAATATTACCGCCCTAGTGACTTTCCTCGCCGCTGTGACAGAAGCAATTCAGGAAAAAAAAGAGGTTGACTGTTTGAGGCAGAAAAGCCATGGCAACAGGAGCATGAGGCAGATCCACAGCCAGGAAGCAGCGATGAGCGGTGCTCCCAGATCCTTTCCTCCTTTCCATTCAGTCAGTGCTCCCAACCCCTGGAACAGTGCTCCCAGCATTTACTGTGAGTCTTCGTTCCCAACTAGCCTAATCTAGAAACTCCCTTGCAAAGAGTTTTGTTTCTACTGGCTCTGGTCCTGTCCAGTTGACAGACAGTAACTGTCACAATTATTAATAAGTATTAATAAATATTTCTTATTTTCCTTTTTTTTTTGGTTTTTTGAGACAGGGTTTTTCTGTAGCTTTGTAGATCTAGCTGGCCTCAACTCACAGAGATCCACCTGTCTCTGCCTCCCATGTGTTGGGATTAAAGGTGTGCACCACAACTGCCCGACTTGTTTTCCACTTTTTTCTTTTTTTTAATTGATATTTATTGACTCTACATTTTTCTCTGATCCCCTTCCTGCCTCTCCCCTCCCTTCTTCAATCCCCCCAAAGTCCCCATGTTCCCAATTTACTCTGGAGATCTTGTATTTTTCTACTTTCTACTTCCCATGTAAATTTTATTTATTTATAT